GTAGGCGGTTTGTCTGTGCAACTGTCTTCCACTTGTCTCCTTCCTGCCCGCTGCCTGACCCCATCTGACTTGTCTCCTAGGCTCTTGGCAGCGGCTCCGCACCAGCACATCCTGGGGTTCATTGCCCTGCAGGGTGGGTGGCTGGTGACGGAGCTGTGCCAGGGAGGCTCGCTGCTCGACCTCCTGCATGCGACCATCGGCAGCCTAGGGCGCCGTTTGGTCGCAAAGGCCCTCCAGCAGGTCCTCAGCCACCCAGCTGAAGAAGCACCGTTTGTTGAACGAATGAATGATTGATTGATTGTTTCAATGTTCGAACTGCACGGAATTGAATGGGGTTGAGTGGAATGATTGAGGGGTATGGAAGTGAATGGAATGGAGATGGACATGGACACACCATTTTTAATGGGTAAATCCACTATAAATGGCAATATTTAGTGATGGCAATATTATGTGATGGGTAAATTATGATAGGATGATAAGTGACAAATATGTTGAAAGGGTGAATTTCCATTATTTAGAAAATGATGAACTGGCAATTACCCTCTGTTAAACATACAAAAAATATTGAAAATGGCAATTTATAGTGGATTTACCCATTAAAAATGATGAATGGAACGGAACGGATTGGAATGGAAGGAGGAGGAGGAGGCGGGGGAGGAGGAGGAGGAGTAGTAGTAGTAGTAGGAGGTAGTCGTAGGTAGTATGCGACGCAAAGTGCCACGGCGTCAGCGGCAACCAATCCCAGCCCAAGCGCGCCACCAGAGCCAGCCCAGTGCCATAAGTGCCATAAGTGCCACGCCTGCCACACAAAAAACGAAGGTAGATGTCTCCAAGTGCCACGCCTGCCACATGAAACGAAGGTGGATGTCGCCAAGTGCCACGCCTGCCACGCAAAGTGCCGCGGCGTCACCGGCGACCAATCCCAGCCCAAGCGCGCCACCAGAGCCAGCCCAGTGCCATAAGTGCCATAAGTGCCATAAGTGCCACGCCTGCCACGCAAAACGAAGGTGGATGTCACCAAGTGCCACGCCTGCCACGCAAAGTGCCGCGGCGTCACCGGCAACCAATCCCAGCCCAAGCGCGCCACCAGAGCCAGCCCAGTGCCATAAGTGCCATAAGTGCCACGCCTGCCACGCAAAAAACGAAGGTAGATGTCTCCAAGTGCCACGCCTGCCACATGAAACGAAGGTGGATGTCGCCAAGTGCCACGCCTGCCACGCAAAGTGCCGCGGCGTCACCGGCGACCAATCCCAGCCCAAGCGCGCCACCAGAGCCAGCCCAGTGCCATAAGTGCCATAAGTGCCACGCCTGCCACGCAAAACGAAGGTGGATGTCACCAAGTGCCACGCCTGCCACGCAAAGTGCCGCGGCGTCACCGGCAACCAATCCCAGCCCAAGCACGCCACCAGAGCCAGCAGTGCCATAAGTGCCATAAGTGCCACGCCTGCCACGCAAAACGAAGGTAGATGTCTCCAAGTGCCACGCCTGGCACGTGAAACGAAGGTGGATGTCGCCAAGTGCCATGCCTGCCACGCAAAGTGCCGCGGCGTCAGCGGCGACCAATCCCAGCCCAAGCGCGCCACCAGAGCCAGCCCAGTGCCATAAGTGCCATAAGTGCCATAAGTGCCACGCCTGCCACGCAAAAAACGAAGGTAGATGTCTCCAAGTGCCACGCCTGCCACATGAAACGAAGGTGGATGTCGCCAAGTGCCACGCCTGCCACGCAAAGTGCCGCGGCGTCACCGGCGACCAATCCCAGCCCAAGCGCGCCACCAGAGCCAGCCCAGTGCCATAAGTGCCATAAGTGCCACGCCTGCCACGCAAAACGAAGGTGGATGTCACCAAGTGCCACGCCTGCCACGGGAAACAAAAGTGGATGTCGCCAAGTGCCACGATGGTGGTTGACAAAGATTGTTGACAAAGATGGTGTGTGAAAGATGGTGTGTGAAAGATGGTGTGTGAAAGATGGTGTGTGAGAGATGGTGTGTGAAAGATGGTGGTTGACAAAGATGGTGGACAAAGATTGTTGACAAAGATGTGTGTGAAAGATGGTGGTTGACAAAGATGGTGTGCGAAAGATGGTGTGTGAAAGATGGTGTGTGAAAGATGGCGTGTGAAAGATGGTGTGTGAGAGATGGTGTGTGAAAGATGGTGGTTGACAAAGATGGTGTGTGAAAGATGGTGTGTGAAAGATGGTGTGTGAAAGATGGTGTGTGAAATATGGTGTGTGTGAAAGATGGTATGTGACAAAGTTGTGTGTGAAAGTTATTGTGTGTGAAAGATGGTGTGTGAAAGATGGTGTGTGACAAGGTTGTGTTGTGTGTGACAGGCGGGTGGCGGGAGGACGACGAGGAGGAGGAGGAGGAGTGGGATACAGAATCAAAAACAAGAACCCCAGACAAAGATGTGGGGAAAAACAAAGTAATTCTGGGAGCCTTCCTTCAAACATGGAAAGTTGAGTGAAGAGCTGACGGCCTCGTACCAATGCGTTTTGAGTTTTTCCGCTCCATCTGTCTAAAGTGCTGCGCCTGCCACGAAAAAGTGATGCCAGGTCGTACAACGTGCTGCACCTGCACGCAAAGTCATCTTAGCAAACCTGAAGATCTGATGCTCCGAAATGCAACCCCTCTCAGGAAATCAATGCCCTGACCTCCTAACATCTCCGATGAACATGTCTCTGGTATTGCCCCTGCCACGCGACATGCATCTTTGCAGATCCTCTTCAAATGTCCCACACCTGCCATCATTTTTGGAAATGCTACAAAACCCTCACGTTTTGCTAACTTTTGGGAAGGTGCAGAATCCCTTGCGCCTGCCACACGAAACGACGCTTCAACGTCCAAAAGTGGTTGCTCCGAACCTGGTGTGTTTTGTAGTTGTTGGCTTCGAAATGTGCTTCACGCCACAATGCCGTGCACTTTTTGGACATCTCATCTTCCAAAAGTGCTCCGAGCATGGTGTGTTTTGCGCGTTTTTACTTCGAAATGTGCTTCGGACCACCACGGCGTGCACTTTTTCCACATCACAACTTCCAAAAGCGCTCCGGCGTTGAGGCGTTTTGTGCATTTTGACTTCGAAATGTGTTTCGCGCCACAACGGCGTGCAATTTTTCATCTCTCATCTGCCACCCGCCGCTTTAGCGAGCCTACTTTTCGACCCTCTGGATTATAAGGAGTATAATTATACTCTTTAAGTGCTTCTAAAGAGACCCCCAAAAGCGTGTTACAGCACCATGCTAAATCGTATTCAAGGAATATAGCAAACATCATGCTGAGTTGAACCTACATTTGTTAAATATTGTGAGCACAAAACCTGCAATTTCCCCGGCCTCTTGAGACTGTGAGGCCAACAGACATTGGGCTCGAGAGATCCTCGACTGGGCCATGCAGTCAGGAACTTAGTCGGACCATGGGACGAAATGTTTTTGGGGGAGCCTGTTCGGCCGTCGAACTGTTTCTTTGCAGCTGGTGGATCTTGGTGTTGTGCCATATCTTGTACGATGCCTTAGGCAGACGAAGATCGAAGATCAGGCGTGGCACAGTTTGACTATATAAAGCGGCAAGATGATCTGCTCATACCCTGGGCTTCCCCCTGAAATCAGCCCAGGATGTGTGATAGTTGCTGGTAAAACCTTAAAAATTTGGAGGCTTAAATGCTCATTTGTGTTGGTTAAATCACAAGTTTTGATGGTCGCCTGTTTTTCTGACTTGAACATCTCAAAAATAGATCGCATTTAGTTCAATAAATTTTCTAATACGCATTTTTGATTTTCATATCTAAGAATGTCAAACTCTTGGTCTTCATAGTTTAGCTGCAAACCATGTCACACAGGCTGTCGACATGGAGGGACAGTCAGAGTTGCGGCTGCCCAGAGGGGATGACTGGTAAGAAACCTCGGCTTGGCCGAGGTTTCTTGAAGCGTGTTAAAATTTTTGGAACACCTTCCGTCCAACATATGTTATTTCACATAGCTATTGAAAATGACTCGGGTAGAGTTGATTTGCCTATAAAATTGGTGATTTTCCATAGCCAGGTTCATTTACTAAAGGGTAAACCAATCTTGCATGCCCAATTTGAACAAGAATTCACCTTGATTTTTGGGCAACATTTTAAAGCCATTACAAATTTCTGGAGTTGAGCGAAAAGAGTTCTAAATCCTTCTGAGGATTCCGAGCGCTTTCCCTAGTCCGCGCCCTCAGTGGTTCGGTTTTTGTTTGGGGGCCGGGTTGTGGGGGAAACGATCAAAACGCCATGGTTTCACAGAGGAAAATTCTAGCACACACCATCAAACTGCAGAGAGTGTCCCACACTGTGGCAAAGTTTTTTTCCCCAATGCACCCAAACGTTAACCAAGTCATAATGTAGGTCACTTAGCTATGTTTGATGATGATTCCACGGAGGCACTCAGCGAGCATCGAATTCAGTTGCGGACATTGAGGACATTGCCCGGGATCCTGTTTGGAGTTGGCAGATTGTTTTCTTCATGGCATGGGACACTATGGAAAATAATCATTTATGTGATAGGAACCATCCTTTGTTTATGGGAGAATACACTAGAATGAAATGGACCAGGGTAAAAACAGGGAATTTGGATTTTCAATTGCCAGCTTGCAATGCCGGATTGCATCTAACTTGTACTATTTGATTTGAAACAAAACATTGCTAGTTTGATTAGTTTGATGGATCATCTTTTTCTAGACAATTGCGTTTCTGTTTCCAAAATTCCTATCATTGGAAAAACAAAGTGCTCACGACTTTTCTACCTTTTCGCGCACCTGCATCTTCTTTCTTCTGATCCTTTCTCTTCTCTAATCTTCTGTCTTCTTCTCTTCTCTAATCTTCTGTCTTCTTCTCTTCTCTTCTCTTCTCTTCTCTTCCCTGATTCTTCCCACCTCTGCTTTTCCATCTGTCCATATTCATATTGTCGGAAGTTTGACTGCTAAACTTCCTTCTGCTAAACTTCCTTCGATAACTACATTAAGGTCGGAATTTCTTCTCTGTCCGCACTGCGCCAAGGATCTGTCCGAAAGCCGCTTACGACAGTTGCCTGGTGGGGCATTCTTCCACCGCAGCTGCGGGTGCTGCGGCTTGGATCTAAAAATTCTGTAGTTTCACTGAGGTTCGTTAAGAACTAGACGACGTTTGGCCCGAGAGCGAGTAGGTGTATAGGTACTGAGATGTGTTATGTAGTTGTGTGATTTGCAGATGCCAAAGACTTACATGAATATGCCCATGAGAATGTTATTTGAGATCATGTGAATATGTTCATGTGTAGATGTCAAGATAAGAAGATGTGAAGATGTCAGGGTTTTAGGGAGGGAGGGAGGGAGGGAGGAGGGAGGGAGGGAGGGAGGGAGGGAGGGGGAGGGAGAGAGAGAGAGAGAGACAGAGACACAGAGAGAGAGAGAGAAAATGTGAATATGAGAAGACGTGAGAAGACGTGCACATGTGCAGATGTGAAGATGCGAAGATGTGAAGAGTGAAGATGAGACAATGAGAAGATGTGAAGATGCGAAAATGTGAGATGTGGAGATGAGAAGATGAGAGGACGGGAAGATGTGAAGATGAGAAGATGAGAAGAAGATGTGAACATGTGAAAATGTATAGCAGACCGCCTTCTTCTAGAAAAACCCTTTGCTCAGACGCTCTCGGGAAAACTGTAAGTTTAAGATTGGTCAACCGACAAAAAATTGCAGTAGTAGTTAGTTTTGTCTCAAAAATGGTTTAGTAGTTGTTCAAAAGCGTTGTGTTTTCCGGTGGTTTTGTAGTTTACACACACACACAATCTAAGGATTTTGCCAACATAATATGGGGATATTTTCCCGTCAACACGCATGCCCACAACACAGGAACCTTGAGTTTAACGAACTTGAGGAGTTACCAGATCCTCGGCACAGTGGCTGCAAGGGGGGCCGCCAAGTCACGGGTAGTTTCAATACTAAATCATGGTCTAATGACTGGGATGATTTGGGGTACTGCCATTTTAGGACATCTACATATATTGGGGATTATCATGATCCAGCCAGCAATTCCAGGGAGAACGTTGCTGGTTTTGAACACTGCTCAAGTTGGGGTGTAAACAGCAAATTGTTGTCGTCACCTGGTTTCATCACCGTAAACTTGGAAAAAACGGGCCCCAAAATTTTAAAACAGTGGGGCTGGTGGCCATGAATCAAACTCATGGCGAAACGTGGTTTTTGCATTGCGTATATTGTCAAATTCAAACATGTTACTGTACCCCCTGGTAATTAAACATGGTAATGCAAAACTCAAATTTTTATTCAAATTTGATAATCACGCAAAGCATGTTGACATTTTCTATCTATCCAGTTTAAATCTATGTAGAGTAGCGATGGTGATCCCAATTGACATGGAGATGGATGACTCACCATGAACGTGCGACATGATGGTTGTTCCCAGCAGTTTGCTTTTGAGATTCGGCCGAGGAAGATTTCTTCAAAGGTTTGGAGAAACTGAAAGTCTTGTGGCTCACTGGAAATCACTACCAACCAGGCTTGGGGTGACCACATCTTGAATGAACATCATCTTTAAATCCCACTTTTTTTAGGAGCTGCATGTGGGATGATTTTTCACATTTGAACATCTGGCTTGTCCCATCAGGTCCTATCCTAGTCTAAATGATTGCCAAATGAGTCTATCCGGAAACAGGGCGCCCCCCCAAAGTCCACCAGTTTAATTATTGTATCATCATTTTCCCTCTTGAACTGGTTATTTTTTGGGATATCCACATCATTTTCAGACAGAAAAATGCAGGAAATTCGGTGCTTGTACCGTACCTGCCGTTGTTTGGGGGTCACCAGCGACCCATCGCAGGGGAGAAAGGTTACAAGAAGATGAAGGCGATCGCCTTGGAACCTTGGGACCTTGGGGTGGACAAAATCTCGAAAAACTGGGGATGATGGTGATATGTTGGTGGGTCAAAATTTCATAGATGATGACTATGAGACTATGATGTAACATGTTCAATGTTCAGCATCTGATATTCCAGATCATATTCCGGTCATTTTCACTTTTGTTTGTTTCTGCCGGTCATGTTTCTGCCTGCAGCCTTGTTTTCAAGGGCCTTAGAAGCTTCTGAGGTCTTCAATGATTTGACCCAGAAAAGACCTGCTAACCTGTCTTGGATCTATTCACGACTTGAGGGCCCCGTTTTTGTATATAGACTATTTATGACTATTTATGATTATTTCATATGATGTTGGTGATATCATATTATATCTCCCCCTTTCAGGATGTTTGAACTATGTGAACCCCCCGATTGGTTTGCAAGTTCAACCGCTATCCCCCATGAATCCTGCCATCTACGGCCTTTTTCAGGCGGCTGGAAATCGTTTGCAGCTGTTGCATCCCAAGCAGTTTGAGGGCTTGGCCAACCTACAGGCGCTGTGGAACCCGTGGTTTCCGGCTACCCTCACAACGTGGCTTGCTGGAGCGTACCTCATTTATTTTGATGATTGTCCCAGCTGTCAACCTCACTTTCCGGGAAGTTCCAGCTTGCCATGTTTGAGTACGGAAGGGTATATCTATTCGTCACCATTAGTGACCATTTTTAATGCCATTACCCCACAAAAACATGGCAAAAAAGAGAACCCCCCATTGATTGCACGAAAAACCCCGGTTCAAAATTCTGGGCCTTTGGCTCAATGGCAGGTGTTGCTTCTGCATCACAACAGGCGGGATGTGATAAGCTGCTTAGCACGGCTGGGTAAATGTTCCACATAATGTTAGTAAAACAATGCCATAAACCACCCATATTTTGATGGTTGGAATCCCATCCATAAAAATGTAAATTTGGGGATGGCGGATCCTATTGCTTTACTCACATTATCATGGACATATTGTTTCTTATTGGGGATGATAGTGGAAACAACATCTAGGTTTCCTGGAAACCACAGCTTGGGATCCTATTATGTTTTAGCTTCAAAAGGCTGCACATACGTTGAAACAAGATGAACTAAGAGATTTAAGGTCCAAAATGCTCCTCCGAATTGTAAGGAAACCACCCCCAGACTGAAACAACCCCCCTGTTCCATCATTTTCCACCTTCCTGCAACTAAAAAAAGAAACAAAACCCCCCCCATTTCGGATCTGGGTTCCAATTCCATTCAATTAATTGGGATAATGGATCTGGGTTCCCATTTTTCGATAATTGGAACGATAATGTAACATTTATCCATTTATCGTTCCAATTCTCAACGTTTCTGAGCCCTGTTTTCGTGTCACCGCCCGGGCGGTGAACCGGGGCGACCCTGCGCCCAGATTGGAGACACTTCCCCAGAAGGTCTTTGAGGGTCTGAGGAAACTTCGTCCCTCGGCATCCTTCGGCCTTGGCGCAAAGGGAACCATAGTAGCCATAGTGAGTATATGGTAGATCAGATCTGGTTGGTGGTGACTGGAACCATGGAATTTTGAATGACTGCAACCAGAAACAGTTGGGAATGGAATAACATCCCAACTGACGAACTCCATCATTTTTCAGAGGGGTAGGTATACCACCAACTAGTAGATGTTCATAGTGGTTATTTTCTAATGCTGCTTAAGAATAGTGGTTGATGATGGTAATGATTGTTGACAATGGTTAATAATTAATGGTTCATGACAATGATTGATAGCAATGGGTAAAAGTTGTCAATAATAGTATGTAAATGGAACACACACACACATATATGTATATATATATATGATATATATATATATCATATTAAGCAGCTGCTAGAACCACGGAACAGGAAGGTTTGGGTTCTCAGCGGCCCCCCGCGTTTGACTCGAACCTGAGCGGGCACAGTGTTCACAAGCCCGCGGGCCATTGCGGTGGCCTTCCTTGCCTGCAGCGGCTGCCTGGTGACCACAGCGCTGCTGAGCTTTGCAATCGTGCTCTGCTACCCTGGCCAGGTAGTATTCACCTTCATCTGGGGTCCCAGACCCGTAAAATCTGGGGGCCTGGCAGTGCATGCGACACTACTTCACTGTCATTGTTTTGGTTTTCCTCCTGAACGTGCACTATTACGCCTTCACAGAGAAGAAGAGGAAGGAGACACAGAGCCCTTGCGAGATTCAGGTGGCATTGTCACCGACTGGGGCTTCTGAAGCTCCATACTGGACAATTAGTCCGGATACGAGGCATTTTGCGACATCACCATTCAGCAGATACTGTTTTTCTTTCGAGGATTCAGAGAGCTATGGCGACTTCCAATGCCCCGTGGAGATGTGCATGGTGCATGCGACTGAACAAGTCGAAAGCAAATCGTTGTGGAGCATGCGATGTTTTATAGCACAGATGTATAGATCCTACGTACGTCCATGGAGGACATGCGAGAAAGGGGACCTACACAGACTGGACAAAAGATTGGGAAGACGAGGAGTACTGGAATCGTGGTGGCAACGCTTCGAGACATGTATCATCTTCGCGATCAGCCAGTGCAAGAGCGGACAAGCATGCGAAACACGCCAAGGGGAAGACCAACAAGAACAGATCAAAGGCCAACAAGAAGACATCAGCTCCGCCTTTGGAGCCACCATGGAATGCGGGACACGATGTGCATGCGCCGTCTGTCCCGTCAGCTTCCAGAGAAGAAGTGCAGAAGGCGGAGGACAAGTACAATCAGCTGGTCAGCAAGCTGCAGAATGCCAAGGACGAGGAGGAAATGAGGCAAATTGTTGCCGAGTCCAACCGTGGCACGGCCTCTTCCAAGTCCATGCATCAAGCAGTTACCAAACTCGACCAGGCAAGAGACAAATACAAAGGGGCAAAGAAGGCAAGACAGAACTTGCACAACAATTGGAATGCCTATCTGAACGAGTCCATCAAGAGATGGCAGAAGTTTGCAGAGGAATTTGCCGAGAAGGACCAGGTGCTGGAGTCCGAAGTAGACAGCACGCTGGAGAAACTTCAAGCAGCGAGACAGCATCTAGACGAGGTCAAGGAGCAGCATTCCAAGATGGATGCGCACTTCCTCAGCAACAGCGTCGACCTGGTCTCCGACATGGAAGAGGAGACGTTGAAAGAGGAGACATCTGCGACGATCAAAGAAGGCATCACCAAGTTGTTGGCGGGCCTGGAGAATGCCAAGGTCAGTCAGAAAGACGAAGAAACAATAGAGGAAAGTGCCCCCAAAAAAGCAAAGGTTGGAGACGGTGGTGGAGCTGGATCACGTGCCTTAACGGCTTTTGGTGGGCCGAGCAAGTAGACCGTAAGGAGATTTGCTCAAGGCCAAACTATGACCTGTGCTTCATGGATATCAGTGACATCTGGAATCACAGCATCATTGACAGCCCTAAGTTTGTAGCGCCGTGGAAAGCTAGCTTTCAAGCGCTCGACCTTTCTCATGAGGTCGGCACGTGGAGCCACCAGCCCAAGCAAAAAATGGTTGAAGGCATCAAGAAGAAAGCCAATAGAAGAGTTAGATTCTCTCCCACTATTGAGTTGTATGTGGGTCACGCTCAAGAGTGCGAGATGCTTGGGTGGTCGCATGCTCTGGAAGTTCCTCATCTTAGAGCTCCGATCATCGCCCAAATTCAACCAGACCATGATGGAGAAGAGATGGCTCTCCTAGCGATGCACCATCATCCTCAGGCACTTCCACAACCAGCAAACTTTGTCATGGAGGATCCGCAAATCGTCCAACAAGAACAAGAACAAGTTTTTGACATTGAGGTTGAAGTGCCACAAGAAGAAGAGGAATCAGAAGAGGCAATGTCATTTGCACCGCAAGTACAAGAAGACTGGCGTACTGTATTGACATTTGCGCTTGGAAGAGACGCTACACCTCTTCGTTTGGATTGGAACAATCATGAACTTGTGCATCATAGCGTTGCCAGAGAACTAGGAGTTTTTCCAGGCCACCTTTTTCATCTACATCATGTAGAAATACCACCAGCAGACCTCTACTATGGCCATGTAGAGGTTCTCATTGCGCATAGGGACAATGACATCCAAATTGGAACAACACAGAAGCTTGTTCTCTTTGATGTAGCCACGCTACATCTGTGACAGCAGTTCCCGAGGTTGTCAGGAGGGTTCATCGTATTATTGATCCAGTTGGTAGAGATCAACTGCTTGAACTCCTTGGACTGCAAGCATACTGTGAGAAGCTCAACAAAAGATGTCTCATCTGGTTGAACGAAGACATTGTCCCGATGTCACAGCAGGTTCTTCATGTGCATCATGGAGATTACATTAGAATTGCGTTGCCTCCAGGGCCTGAAGCGCTTGACCACATAGCTACTCGGTGTATCGCTACGGCGTACTACCAGGGCATGAATCAGAATGACATTCTGGACCGACACACTCTATATAGACTGGGTTGGTTTGAGCAGGCTGTGAGCCAGCCCTTTGTGCCTGTAGTTCCACATGGTCAAGAAGAAGCGACACTTTTGCAGCTTCAAGGAGCATTATTGCCGCCACTGGAGGATACGCCACCATTCTTACAAGGACGCGACGGAGAAAGACATGTACATGGACAAAAAGGACAGTATCCCTGCATATGGTCTCCGGTTGAACGTCTTGAAGAAGAATTACCACACCGAATAGAGAGGAGATCCTTTCAGGATCTAACTCAGGAAGAATTTCTTGCAGTGCTCCAAAATCAGCCAGCGGCTATCCAAGAACTTTTCTATGTTTGGCTGCAAATCATGACCACTGCACAGGAGCCAGAACAAACAACTCTGCAAGTTCAGACGTGGTTCATTGATCATCCACGTTACTGGGTTTGCAGAGAACCAAGAACAATCCACATCGACAGAGATTTTACACAATGGCTACGGCTTGTCTATGAAGAATGGAGAGATCGCATTGACCCCAGCTATCCAGTCCATATTCATCTAGCAAGACCATCGCCACAAGCAACAGCCATCAGACAGACAGTGCAGCCGCAAGTTATTGTGATGCAGCATGAACCGTTGCACCAAGTTGCAAACTTGTACACAATCATGGACTACACGAGTCAAGGAGCCGTTCATCATCAATTTGCTACATTTGCGCCAAACATTGTTGACAAACGACTTCTAGCCCAAGCTGCAGAAGTTGAAAGACGATGTTTCTCTAGCACTGAACGTGTCCACTGTATGATTTGGCATGGAGATCTTCAAATTGATGAGGCAGTCCAAGTGCGCAACAGACATGGACTGGCATATTTGATCATCATGCACACCATCCAACATGGGGGACAGTCAGTTGGTGCAACAGCGTGGGAGCAAGTGGATGAAGAGGCCATGATTCAACTCACCAGATCAGTCAATGGACCCAGTCAGAGGATACGACTGTCACTGGACACTCTTATCCCACCAAGTACTGTAGCGGTGCAGCTCATTGATGGCATAGGAGGCAAGAATCTGCCCACGCCGCTTGAGGTCCAGCAACCAGGGTCTGCGGCACAAGTCGAAACAGAACTACGTGCGTGGGGTCACCAATGCGCAGTCTATGAGTGCCCGGGCACCAGTCACTTTCTATGTCTTGAAGAAGGTATTGTAGCTGATGAGGCCACATATCACTACATCTTCTGTCACGATGATGTGAATGACCCTCAAGGCATTTTCTTGCATAGTGATGTCAACCGCTTGACTGAAACACAAGTCATGGCAATGCTGTGCCAACTTGGCTATGCACGCGCGGTGATACTACAGCAAGCAGACATTGCGGAGCATTGGATCTATGTGCAATTTCATCATAGAGAACCACAGATGCAAAGGAACCCTCAACCTGTGCGTTGTCCATCCAAATGGCCAGATCGAGCTGCCCATTGCAGAAAGAGCCAAGCACTGATTGAACTTGACAATGTGAAGAAGTTAGACTCGACATGTCAGCTGCAAACATGTTTTGATGTCGGTGACCTTCATGAACTTTTTCAATCAGGCGCTGGCATCCTCTGTGATGATTTAGAGCCATTAGACCTGCCCACAGATCAAGGAGAAAATTGCAAAGTGCCCAGTTGTTCCTCTACGGAGTGTCAAAGATTTGGACCAGTATGACCGTCTCTGTATTTTCACGGATGGGTCGTCAAGGCCGAGCATGAGGAGATTTACACCAGAACAGGCTGACGACAGAGGTAGCCCAGACACATGGGCGTTCCTTGTAGTTGGAGAGATTTTCCATGCACAAACGCAGTCGACACTTCATATACTGGGCTGGACAGCGCAACCGGTGCGGTATGACCCACTAGGAGAAGCCTTCTCAGGCGCGACCAGAATAGGGTCGGACATTGCTGAGCGCTCTGCGCTCATCAGTGCCTGCATGTGGCGTCTCTCCTGGAATCACACCATTCCAACTTTGTTTTGCAGTGATTCCACCTTAGCGGGTGGACAGGCAAGC